GCACACTGACTGCAGGAATCAAATTTCAGTTAGTTTTTCTCATGTCACAGTTGAACAACTGTGAAAAATCATACTGAGATAGGGAAATGCTGGTATTATTTGGAAGAGAATAAGACCAGAGTAAATGATGCTGCAAAAATAAAAGGAATCAAGGCAATCTTAACTTGGCTATGATGTGGCAGAGGGTTAAACTTTTCTGATATTCTGTTCAGAAGCCACTCAGCCTTAAAAGACTAAACGTTGAGCAAGTTTTTTTTCCAAATGTGACATATTTTTCCTTTGAAACAAAGACTGTAGCATTAGTGTTTAAAGGAAGGTAGTTCTACATGAAGTACTTTGGACCACCAAGCAGGGGAATTCGGTTTTTTAGATTAGCAAGGGTACATCCACAAATTTGGGATTTCTAAGAACAGCTGTCCTGTGAGCTTCCCCATCACAATGTGGAGATTTATGGAGCTTCACCCAGGTTTCTCATCTGGAGTCCGGAAATAGTAGTGAGTAAAATCAGAGATGCAGCAATTATCTCAGTTAGCTACCGTATGGATGAGCAGATGATACTGTGATGTGAGACATCAGAGTTCCCCTCAGTGTTCATACCAGACAGCAGAAGTCTAAATGGCCAGTGTCTGTTACTGATAGCTTTCTCCAAACAGTAGCATGTGATCTATTTTTTTATCATGCCTGATTAAAAAAAAAAGTAAAAAAGGTGGATGTTGATGTTCTCTGCCTGATTAACATGGGTTTTTAAAAAATATTCTGTATTCATGGCTATAAACTGAAAATCCTGATTGTCAAATTAAGCAGTGTATTAGTCATATATATACTGTATTAGTATTAAGCAATGTATTAGTCATATACTGTGCTGATGCTCCAGTCCCTGTGCACACTGTCACACCAGTCCTGTACTCAGTGTCATTTCATAGAATGGTTTGGGTCAAAAATCATCTAATTCCACCCCACCTGCCATGGGCAGGGATGCCTTCCACTATCCCAGGTTGCTCCGAGCCCTTACAGCCTGGTCTTGGACACATCCAGGGATGGGGCAGCCACAGCTTCTCTGGGTAACCTGTGCCAGGGCCTCCACCCTCACAGGGAGGAATTTATTCCTGGTATCTAATCTAAATCTATCTTCATTGTGTGACCCCTCACTGGAGATAAGGAGGAGAAGGCTCTGAAAGGAGGAAAAGAATTCATGGCATGGTAATCTATTAATAGGAACAGCCACTTCTTTATTAATTTGCTAAATGAGTTAGGACTGTATATTTATAAATTGTACAGCAGTTAGGCTGATCCTGAATGCAGGTCTCTGGAGACCTGGAGTGCGCAGGGATAACATCTGATTTATTGTGAGACCCAGCGTGAGCCCAGCTGCAGGGACTGGGTTTGATTTATCTGCTTGCACTGCCATGTCTCCCACAAAGGGTCTGGTAAGGCCAGCAGTGCAGGGAATGTGTGGGTCTAGAATGTTACCTGTTCCTCTGCATTTCTTCATCTGCTGCATTAATTGTTTTATTGTTTTTTTTTGCTGCTGGTTGTGGGGTTTTGTTTGTTTGGGTTTTGGTTTTTTTTGAACTTTAGGGTTTTTTTGGAAAAGTCCCCTGTATTAAATTTACATTGCAAAAAAAGGGTGTCTTTTGACTAAATATAAATCAGTATTAAAGGGCAAGAGACTGAAACCATTGCAAGGTGATGGATTATCGTGCTTGAGGGCAGTTGGTGTCTCTTTGGTATCTGCTTTGGTGATCCACGCTCAGCATCATTCCCTGCTGGGATCAGAGGCCAGTAACAAACAGGGATGGGAAATGCACAACCACTTAAAAATCTCTAAATACATCCCAGGAAGTGTTCAAAGCCAGGTTGAATGGGACTAGTGGAAGGTGTCCCTGCCTGTGGCAGGGGGTGTGGAACAAGATGAGCTTTATTGTTCCTCTCAACCCATTCTGTGATGACCCAAACCCAGAAGTGGCTTTGCTGCTTGCATCATTGCTAATGACCACTGGTAAAACTGTTTGTGGCATGCTGGCTACTAAGCACTGTTTTATGTTGTGTATTCCCTCTGTGTTGTTGTGTTTTAACTCTGCACAATGAAGTTCCCAATGATCCATGTTTGTTCTAAATGAAATCTGATTTATCACTAGTGCTCTGCTCATCCATGGATACATGATTCATCATTAATCAGGAGGTATCACATAAACTGCATAAACTATAACAGGAATGCCTTGGCATTCCTTTTGTTAAGAGCAGAAAACAGCTTTGTGCAAACCAGTTGTTAAATTGTGTCAGATCCACAGAGGTGTTGGTACAGCACGCTGCAGCTACAGGGAGGTGAAGCAGTGTGACAGCAGGTACTGAACTCTATTTGATTTTGATTTTCATCCCTCCTAATCCAGGTAGAAATATTTATCATACTTGATGACACTGAGGTGCTTGGTCTTTTGGAGATGCAGGTTTTTTTTAGCTACATGTCTGGTGAAGGGCAATCCTGAAACAAATGTAGTACATTGATTGCCACACAGTGATTAGGCACTTCAGATATGGAATGGAATGATCTTTCATTCTGTACTCAGTTGACTAACGTGAAAAAGTAGGAAGTAGGTGCTAAAAGTGAACCTTGACAAATAAAACTCTTGTATTGCACTAATGAAATGCTATTTAAAGCAGTACATGAAGAAGCTTTTTAGGAGGAATGGAAAATCCAAAACAGGTTTTTCCCTTCAAAGCAAATGATTTATGCTCTGATAAGATGAGATTTTTAGTTAAAGGAATTTGCAGTCATTAAATGGTGCCCATGAAATAAGTCTCATTTATAACCATCTGCTTTATGGCTTCTGCAGAAAAGTATTCCTCAGGCAATGCATTCAAGAACTTCAGTGTCATTTTTATCAAAATAGTTTGGTTCTCTACTGGTAACACTATTAAAATCTGTGTGGTTGTTTTTTGGTTTTTTTTTTTTTGTTTGTTTGTTTTGTTTTTTTAACTTGAGATCAGTATTATCTTCAAGAGAAGTCTGCCTGGAGCTGCTACCTTTTTGTGCTGTACTTTAAACCCTGCTGTGGCTGCCAGGTACTTTTCCATGTTTTTGTGTACCCTCCTGAAATCTTGAGCATTCTCAGTGGAGATTTCTCCAGGGAAGGGATGTTTTGGGGGACACACCAAGTACTGTTGTTTTCCCGGGAATGAGAAGAGATGGCCTGCAGCCTGACCTCATGTTCTTCCATTGCAGTTGTAACAAGCTTTTCCTCTGAACCCTGCATCTGTTTTTTGGGATAGTTTATGTTCATTAGAACTTACAGTTGAGAGCTTACAATAAGGGGAACAGAATAAAAGAAGGGATACTTTGAAGACCATCCTTTATCTTTCACAGTGTCTATGCAGACATGGAAATAACAAGAGGGCATTTTATAAAAGTGAGATGACACTTGGATGTTTGTTTAATAGAGTCTTGATAGTCTGTTTCATTTTGATCAATATAATAGCTGTAATTAGTTTTAGTGTTTCTAAGCTTTTGAACTGCAGAGAATTCAAACAGCTTGTTAGTGTGAGGGACTCTGGGGAACTTTAAAAGTATTCTTCCCTTTTGCACATATTGCATGTACACAGGCCTAATGATAGTAGCTGTAGCTGAGGCTTTTTTATCCAGTGTCCTACCTCTCAAGCTAATATTTTGAAAAGCTCAGAGAGGTCCCTGGAGTATAACTGCCTGCACAGCTCAGAACTCTGCTGCATAAAGAGGATAAGTGCTTTGAAGTCTGTACTAATCCTGAATGCTATTTTACATATTGCTCAAGATCACTGAGGTAGTGTCCTACAGGGAATAATGACAGTATTTTTATAAGCAAATACCCATTTTTTTGTTTATCCCCTTCAGCTGACTTGAAGGGTGCCAAAGAGCTGGTTTCTGCTATTCTGATCCTTCTCAAATTTGGTGAAAGCTTTGTTTTGAGAAAGGCAGATTGTGGTCATGTGAAGGAAGGAGAAGCAGCATCTGCCTGCACAGATGATGACAAAGGACAGTATAAACTGTCACTGTGTTTTGGCCAGGATGTGGGTGATGTGAGGTGTCCCCTGGGCTGCAGGAGACCTCAGCTGTGGCTCTGTCCTGCCCTGGGACTTTCTGGGAGGGGGCAGGAGGCAGAAAGGGGTGTTTCTGTGGGCAGTAAATGGGTACCTACAGCACTGCAGTGTGTGGTGCCCAGAGCTTTCTCTTCTCCAGGCTGAAAAACCCCACCTCTATCAGCCTGTCTCCACAGCAGAAGTACTCCAGATGGTCTTCACGATTCCACTATTTCTAATACTGGCTGCGAGAAGTAACTCGAACGATGGAAATTTGGACACAATTGCAATTAACCCATAAATAATGTTACTGTGTGGAATTAAATATTTATTTTTTTGAAGTCTCACCATTAGTATAAGCAGATAGTGTTGCCTGACAGTGCAATACCTTCTGAGACAGTGTTTTAAAACAAATTTCTAGATTAGAGATGCTTGTGATGATTTGCGAAAAAGTTACGCAAAAAGAATTATATGCAAGACAATTATGTAGGTGTGCATGGATTGAAATGTGCCCTCAGCTCTCAGCATGAGTAGTCCAGTGGCTTTGAAATTATTCAGATATTTGAAGAAGTCTCTGCTAAAAAAATATCTGTAATGGCTCCTCCTTCTTCAACCCCAAATTTTTGATGTAGTAATAATCACCCTCCTAACTGTTCCCTTTTCACATCAATAGAGGGAAAAAACCCACATTTTCAAGACAAATGTTGTGTTTTACAATGTCTTTATCACACAGTGATGAGTCATTGTAAGTGCTATATTTATCTATTAAATACCTGTGGACAAACTGAAATGTGTGCTTGTAATTGCTCCTCAGTTATTTTATTTAGCTTCATAGATGTTTGCCTGGGTCAGTGATTAATGTTGTAGGGGGGGTTGTTCATCCTGCCTTTGAACAATTCTTGTATTTAATAAAAAACACCACAAAAAAATTCTCTTTTTCCTTATAGGACTCCAAAAGGTTTGAAGTTACAAGAAGAAAAGGTAGGAAAACCAGTTTTCTTTAGTGTGTGTATTGGTGTTGAGTATTCTTGCAATAACTTTTTAAACCAAGCATGAGTTCACACACTTGAAAGGTTGTGCTGCTGTGGGTTTTCCAACAGTCTGTGCCTGGCACTTGTCTGACAGTTCTCAGTGTTGCAAGTTGTAGATTTTTTTATATTTTTATTTTTCCCCAATGAAAAGCTGTTCTTTTAGCACAGAATTGCATGATACTGTTGGGTGTGCATGTCAAGGTTTGGGTGCTGGCAGGGCATCTAAATGGCTTTAAGCTGAAGGAAAATACTTTTGATTAGATACTGCAAATAAATTCTTCCCTGTGAGGGCAGTGGAGCCCTGGCACAGGTTGCCCAGAGAAGCTGGGGCTGCCCCATCCCTGGAAGTGTCCAAGGCCAGGCTGGAGGGGGCTTGGAGCAACCTGGGATAGTGGAAGGCGTGGCAGGGGGTTGGAATTGAATTAATTTTTTAAGGTCCTTTCCAATCCAAAACATTCTGTGGTAAACCTGAAACCTGGAGAATTTCAGGGAGAAAGAGGTGCAGACAAGGCTTTCCATGCCTTGGCATACCACAGCTCCACCCTGAGGTGCACTGATGCTCTGAGCTCAGCTCCTGCTCCTGGCAGCTCGGCTGCCCCCATAACTAACTGGCTTCTGTCAAGATTGAGTCTTTGGTGGCTCCTGGCAGCTGGGGGAGAATCAGCCATCAAAGAGCTCATTCTGGTTATCATTAATTTTGATTTTGTTCAGCAGCTGTTTTCTGGATCAGGCAGTTGCTTTCCTCATCTGTCTTGGTAGAGTATGAAGCAGGTGGCACTCTCCTGTTCAATGGATTAATGTATTCCCTGTTCCTTTCCAGCAGCTTCTTGAATTTCTTCAGGCATCCCATATGTTGGGAAGAGGTTGTAACTCCCAATGTTTTACTGCATAAGCAAAGAAGGTCAGGTTCAAGGGTAACTTGTCATTTGGACAAATAATCTCCTTTTTTTTTTTCTTCTATGAGGCTGAGGCAGCAGAGAGTCTTAATTAAAAATAGAGCTGTTGCTAAAGGTGAAATGTATTTAATTTGTTTAATTTAGATGTTCAGTGCATGTGTGTGCTTGATCAAACTTCTGCCACTCTTCATGAAGAAATCCAGTTCTATTGTACTTCCCTCAGTCTTAAACTGAGGCAGGCTTCTTGGGTGAATCAAGGCTGCTTTGAGATGCAGAAAAAGCATCTTGGGCATCTTGTGGATGTGGACACATTTCAGTCATGCTCTGGCTGTTGTTCATTATCAGCATGGAGACTGAATCCCGTCTTGTGGATGTACCTCTAGTCCTTTTTTAGATACGAGTTCTATTTCCAAAGCTTTCTTCCCAGTAAAAGTAACCAACACATATAATAACTTAAAGACAGCAATTTTTGAAATCAGTATTGAGTTTGCAGATTGTGTGCTTGGAGAATGTTACTTCAAAACAATAAGTGAATTTGGAGATCAGTGCCTCAAGACACTGAATTTCCAGGCTAAGTGACGCTGATTTCTCATTGCTTTCAGAGGATGGGTAAGACTTAACTTTTATTTTGAGGGGTAAAACCATAACTTTTTTCAGAAGTGAATTCAGTGTAATGGACTTCTGTGTTAGAAGCTTCTTATATCTATGGCTGGAGTGAAGGGGATTGCAACAGATAGATTTAAGATGTATACATAAATTTGGCTTATGCCCAGCAAGGCAATATGTGGATTATCAAGTCTGTCCCATGTACTGCAAACTCCTCAGAAGCCAAGAAAATGCTAACAAACATGGTAAATACCTCTTGATCCCAAGGGCATGTGGATTTGCAGAGCTGCCTGGGGATTTTCAGCAATGTGTAAGTTTCTTCCTCGCTGGAGTTATTCCTCAATAGTGCCTATAAAATAATTCAACTATAGATAGGCATTTTCAGAAACCTCTTCAGTATTAAAATGTGCACAGAGCAGATATCATTTGGTGTTAGGAAAAAAAATAACAGGAGGGTCAGAATGTTATGCACATGAAAGGATTTCTTATAAATTTTGTAATATGGTATGAGGTGACTTTAAGATCCAGGCCTTTTTCCCCCTAAAAATGGTAATTTTTGCAGCTAATGCTTTTTACCTGAGGAAATGAGATGATTGGAAGAGATTGGGGTTGGGGGTTTATTCCTATTCTGTTCCCTTAGTAGAAATTCTGGCTTTCTCTTAAAAAGCTGAAAAACTAAAAAATGCCTCATTGAAACACCCACAAATATGAGAGCTCAGCAGACTTTGTATCTGCTTTTATTATCCCAGGCTTATGGATGATCCAGGATGATTTAAAAAAAAAAGCTTTTGGTGAAAGGAGGGGCAATCCTGGTTTAGTCTTTTTAGAATTTTTCTTCATTTTGGGACAAAAGATTTGAATCCTTTAGATTTAAAGCAGACACTTTTTTTTTTTCAAAGAGAACAAAGCCTTGATAGCTGCTGATCATGAAAACATTTGTTTCCATTTTTTTTAGTTGTGGATGAGTGTAGTTAAACTGGGAGGCTTTTGGTTTCCAAAGTGCCAGGATTACATATGCCAGAGAAATTTTGAACCTGCTCCAAAGCCCATTACAGTCAATGAATTGTTTTCCTTTGACTTCTGTGGCATGAGATCAACGGTAATTACATGATCTTTTAATTGCTGTGGTATGGAGGAGAGATGCTTCCCTGGCTGCAGCTGGCAGCCACCTCTCAGTGATGTTTGGAGACTGATTTTCTTCTCAATTGAAATGGAAATGGCTGCAGAACAGTTTTGTTCCTGGGATGCCTAACTGGTGTGTAACTATTACCCTTTTTGACTAAAAATAATTTTTTAATCAAAAAAACCCCAATCTGGGATTTGATTAGAAGCTGCAGGAATATTTTTCTAAATTCACTTGAAATTTGGCTCTGAGTTGTTCACACATATGACCCACTGTGGTATCCATCTGTATTACGCTCCTGCAGTGGAAACCAGAATATGGGGTAGGGTGCCAGGTTTTGTGCTTTGAAAACAAACAAACTCCCAATCAGCCAAAAAAACCTCAAAACACAAACTCAAGAAACCCCAGCATGTGATAAACAAGCACAGATTTGAATACTATTCCCCTGTTGCTCTGTTGAAGTAAAATCACAGGGCAAGTTTGGACAGGCAGATCTTTTTTCACTAACTGAATCTTCTCTCTTTTCCATTTTAATGTTAATTTTCATCATTTTCCCTGCCCTTAGTGCACAGGAAAGAGGAATGGTGCCAAAAGGTGAATAACCTGTACACTCCTGTCAGCTGTCCAGTGTAAGATGGGGAAAAGCAAAACAGGAGTAGGGAGCTGGGAAAAGCAGCAGTTTGTGCAGAATATGTGGACATAGCAGGCATTTAGTGAAAAGAATGAAGAGAGTGGTGGAAAGGATGACATGTTGGAATGGGTGTGGTGGAAGGAACCTTAAAGCCCATCCCATTCCACCCCCTGTAATGGGCAGGGACGCTTTTTGCTATCCCAGGTTGCTCCAAGCCCCATCCAACCTGACTTTGAACACTTCCAAGGACAGGGCAGCCACAACTCCTCTGCACAACAAATACCAGTGTCTCACCACCCTCACAGGGGAGAATTTCTTCCTAAAATCTACATAATCTGAGGAGAAGACCCTGTGCAGGAAACTGGGAGACTGAAGGGTGTGTGTTAGATTGGAAGAAACACAGGACCAAGCTTGTAGAGAGCATCTGCAAACATTAGGCTGGACAGTGGCAGGGTTTAATTTTAAAGATTGGTTACTTTTCCCCATGTAATGAGTATACATGAATGCATAATACTTACCTGTGGCTGTAAATTACACCATACAACTTATATATATAAAAGCCACATACCTTTGTGTCTATCAAATTCCCCATGTCTGGCAGAGCAGAGACTCCAGTGCTTTCCCCAATTATTTTAATGGCAAGAACACAGGATTTAAATCTTCAACTTCTGGAGCTGACACGTGTTCCCGTTTCAGTTGGCACTCTGGGGCTGAAGGATGCTGAGTACTAGAACAAATTGTCTGCTGCGTAGAACTATGCCTAAGCATATGTATAGTCACATTAAGCATAAAGAGCCAGGTCTTCAGTAGATAGAAATAAGCAAAGCTCTGCTGAATTAATGGACCACCTTTTCTTTTTTACTAGCTGAGAATCTAACCCAAGCACTTAAAACTTTTAATTTGTTTTTGTTGTTCACAATCATCCTTTCAACAAATTAGTGTCAAAAAATGCTTTTGAAACCGTTCAGCCAAGAAATGTTCAAGCAAATTGCTTCTGCTCTGACCATATAATCGTATTAAATGAGATGCAACTCTAGATTTATTCAGACAGATGACATCACTGCCATAAATACACAAACTTCTAAATACCTGGTTTGAATTAAAACTTCTTTTAATTGACACTTCCCTGAAGTTTTGACAAGCTCTGTGTTGTGGATGTCCTATTTGTATGTATTTATTACAGATACACAATCCTCATTGTTACACTGTGATTCCTAATCACAATGTGGAGCAGTAGAATATATCACACCCTGAGTTTTCCCAGGTTGCCAGAGTTTAACTGAAAAATCTCTGCATCAATTAGCAGTGGTAGAGGATCCAGCCAACAGCTTAAGAAATATTTCATTATTCTCCATTTGACATCAGTTTTTATGTCCTACATGAAAAACTAACTCATGGTTATAAAAGAGTAATGAATGCCCTTCAGAAATTCTATTTGCTTTGTCCTTTCTTTTTGCCAACTTCAAATTTTTTCCTTTCCATGGAAAAAGACCGGCACTCCAAAATTGGCAGGAATGATAAGTTGCTCTCCTGAAATCCTTCAGGAACACAAAGTGGTCAGCTATTATTACTTTTGTAGTAAATCACCTATGAATTTCCCATCATCTTGTTTTTTTTTTTCCTGTTACTGGGATCCAAAAAAATCCGTGGTTTTTTTCCTTATGACTTGGTCAAAGCACACCAAAAATCAGTAG